TGTAGGTCTGGTGAATTGGATCGTAATTTCAATTCTAATGTAATAAATTATAACCATGGAATATTAGTGTTTAAGCCTTTTTATTATATTCTTACTCTATCGGACATTGAGTTCTATCTGGATTCTATCCTGTTGGAATTTTTATATATATATATATATATATATATATAGGTAACTACACTCGTCTCGGAAAACCTTCGGTTTCTTGATTAGCTAATGATCAAACCAATTTTGAAGGAAAAAAAGGTTTTAAAAAAAGAAAGACCTAGGAATATGAACATCTGTCAAAAATAATCATCCAGCATACAGGTCCAAAGCACAAAGAAAAAACCCCGATATGAGTAATCAACTAACTTAAAAGTGCTCAATACAAAAGTAGAGCAGATCTAGTCAAATTTAGATCTGCTTAGGTGAAACCTTGGTAGGTTTGTGTGTGTGTGTGTGTGTATATATATATATATATATATATAGTATTATTATCAACTACTGTTCAACTGTACATTTTATTCCAGATGTGATAATAGTTGATAAAATTATTGAGGTTCTGGCATTTTAGCAGAATTATTTTAAACTGGGCTTCAAAGCTGATGAAACTATTTTTCCGAATTCAGGAAGTGGAAAGAAAGAAAACATTTAACAGTACTGCCCAAAACTGGTTTTAGATTTTTTTTTTTTTTTTTTTTTATATGGTGATTTGTGCCTAGAAATAAATGTGAATGACTGTCAGTTGTTGATTGTGAGGTTTTAAAGACACAAGGTAGAGAAGAACCCAAACACTAGCTCTAAAAATCTTTTTAGAAGAGATAATATGACCCAAAAAAACATACCACAGGCAGATTACGCCTTATGTACAATGTCCCTTCAGGAAATAAGCGATCATGGCTCTCCACATCTTCTTGTAGCTCTTAATAAGTTTTGTCTTTTTACTATTTCTCCCAAACCCTGTTCTACCATCCATTTACTGAAACCCATTAAATACATTTCATGGTGTTTTCCACTGTTCCTCTTTCTCACAACCTGTCCTGTGTGTATCAGATTTTCTGAGCCCTTCTTCCTCATTATATACACCCAGAAATTTCAATAGCTTAAAAAAATAAAAAAAGAGGGATCTCAATAGGTTACCCCCACAAAAAAATGAATTTGTATCCAAATTCTTATCATAGGTTCACAGCTATAAAAATTTTAACCAATGAAAAACACAATGCAGAAAATTCATTTAAAACAGATATCTTAATATAATTTCAAAGAAACCTAAAGAAAGTCTTTTTTTTTTTCTTTTTTAGAAATATGGTTAATTTTGTTTCTTTTTAAAATATTATAAAATGTTTTTACTATTTGTTCACTTCTTTATACAGTGCAATTCTTTCAATGCTATAATTTACAATACAGTACAGTACTACCAAGGTAATTTTTTAAAAATAAATGAAAACAAAAACTGATGGAAATACTTTCTCTTATTTTAAAATGAGTAAAGATTTCATGGCTCTTTTCACAATAATTCAGACAATATGTTCTCTAACCTTCTTCAAGTGATAATCCATATGAAAAGAACTTGGTTCTCTTTTCTTGATGGAGGAGATCTTTTTCATTTTTTTAAACATTTTAATAATTTAAATTCATATACTTAATTCCTAGGATGACTTAACACCTTTACATCATGCTAACATAGCATAAAAATTATTTAAGCATAGCTTAGTCTGACAAAAGGCCATAAGTATGTGGAACTCTGTGAAGAATGAACTCTACTACTGAGTAGTAAAGGTCAATTAAACTAGGCTTGTTAACATTTAACCTATGTCAATCCACCTGGCCAGAGGTAAGTAATAGTATGTCAATCCACCTGGCCAGAGGTAAGTAATAGTATGTCAATCCACCTGGCCAGAGGTAAGTAATAGTATCGATCATATTGCTAACATTGGGATAAAAGGTAGCTATTAAAAAAAAAAAAAATAATAATATTTTCCTAAACTATTTCAAACTTTATTTCTAAGAATTGAGAAAGTCTTTTTGCTGATGGGTTACTAGAACAGTGTTTACAATTTTCTGCTGTCAAAGACTTTTCTGTTAGGCATATTCTAAATTCTAATGTTAAAATTAGGCACAGTTTTCATCATAGAATCTCTCTTAAAAATATGAAGAGATACAAATCGCAAAGGTTTCATATTTTGTAAGAAATATAAAAAAAGATCGATGGGGACATTATTTACAATACAAAAATAAAAAGAATACTATATTTTCTTACATTTTTTTTATATTGTTTTTTGAAAATATTGAAAAAAACATAACAATGATTTTTCTTTTTGGGGGGAAATTTTTATCTTGAATATTTTTTTTTTTAAAAAACTTACAAAATGACTACACTTTAGTATGAGTTTGAAAATGAAACATTACATAGTTGAATTTTACATATATATGATATATACACACAAAAAAAAAATATTATTTTTCAGAAATAAAATAAAATTATAAAATATTATTTCATGTTGATATTTATACAAATATGACTAAAAAATAATTTCTGTCGACAGGAAAGAAGTAATTTTTCTACCAATTAGTATTTTTCTTTATTATACCATTACAAATGTTTTGTAAACATTTTCAACAATTATCTAGGAATTTAAAAACATTTATAAAGAAAGTTTTTACAAATCCGTATCCAGAGTTTTATCATAGGTCTTAAAAGTTCACAGCTATAAAACTTTAACCAATGAAAATCTCAATGCAGAAAATTCATTTAAAAAAAAAAAAAAAAAAAAAAAAACCAAAAGAAAGTCTTTTTTTCTTTTTTAAAAATATGGTTAATTATGTTTCTTTTTAAAATATTATAAAATGTTTTTAGTATTTGTTCACTTCTTTATACAGCGCAATTCTTTCAATGCTATAATTTACAGTTTTATTTTAGTACAGTACTACCAAGGTAATTTTTTAAAAATAAATGAAAACAAAAACTGATTAAAGTACTTTCTGTTATTTTAAGACGAGTAAAGATCTCTCAAAGAGCTGTTTGAGGAATTGATCTCATGGCTCTTTTCAAAATAATTCGGCCAATCCGTTCTCTGGCCTCCTTCAAGTGATAATCCATATGAAAAGAACTCGGTTCTCTTTTAACTGATAGAGAGAAACAGAAAATGCTAGTAACCAACAGAAAAGAAAACAAATTCGGTAGGAATTCTCTGGTTGAATGAATCCAGTTTGCCAAACCTCACAGCAAAGTGTAACAGGTAATTCCATATTTTATTGCTTTATAGTTGCTTTCCAATCTTTTCTGAGATAAAAAATACAAAAAAGCCTCACTTAGACATTTTTCTGTAAGACTTATATACACACAGCTTCTTTTGGTCTTTCTAACAATTCTTCCTATTATTTTTATTTTGCCACAGAGTTATCTAGTACAAATAAATCATGCAAAAATAGATGGAACACCTGAGAAAAGAAAATGGAAAAGGCTGTAGGACTAAAGATCAAAAGAACCGATTTGTAAGCATTAAAACTCTAAAGCAATTAAAAAATGAAATAATAATTTCAAAGAAGTCCTGTTAATTTGAGTAAAGTTACACAAAATGTATAAGCGCTGGAGAGTTTTCAAGAATCAAAGAGTAGCTACAAAAAAATATATTTACCCCTGACAGAAAGTTGAAATTACAAAATTTAGATATAAAAAAAAAAAAAATTAATTTTGAAGACAAAGAAACAAACCTAGAGAATTTTCTTATTAACCTTATTAGAAAAAAAAAAAATTAATATTTATGTGTACCCATGGTATGAAATCAATAGAAATGACAGCATTATATAATACTGTATTGGGGAATTGATATATATTAAGAACAATTTTAGGAAAATCTATGACAAAGCAGAAAAAAAATCCTTTGTGTGATACATTTCATTCTTTAGGACTTCAGATTAAAATGATGTTTATGCTGATGTGATTACACATGCACATCAACGAGAAGAGACTCTGAAATTTTAAATTAAAATTTTTTTACACTATCACCTGTAAAAATTGCCACAAGGAATATACAGGAGAAACCTCAAGGAATTTAAATAAAAAATTATATGATCACAAAAGAGATCATTTACAAAACAACACACTCAATACTTTAGTTTATCACTGTAATGAATGACTATAATTTTGATTCTAAAATGCTAATTAAAAAAAGAAATGTATAAAAAGTGCTTTTAATTATCCACAGTAAATTTACATCTAGGCTCTTACAATATATATTATGTCTTTAAATTACTGAAGGAACATAAGGCCACAATATATCAGTGGCTTCTATAACAAACCAGTTTTTAAGTGAGTAGGTTGTTAGCCTACTGCACAAGCCCCCAACCTGAAGGATCAGGTTTTGAGTTGTCCTTCTCATAGACCAGCTGCCACCCAAAGCTATAAAACCTGGTCTGTCCTACTATTTACCCACAGCTGGGGGGAGAAGTAGAAGATTCATACCTTTCCCACGGGCATTAGCATGTAAGTGAATATAATGGATTCAACTGGAACTCGAACTTGGCTCTCCAATTCCTCAGTCCAAGCTGCTATCCATTGCCTCACTGTGTCTCCTATAGGCTCTTATAGTATATCCCCTTTCTGTTATTACAATATGGGATATTTAATAATGAAACTGATGAAAAAGAAACTAAATGAAAAAGAAACTAAATGAAAAAGAAACTGGCTAGGCTATATACTCAAAACCCATATTTAAAAGAAAAAATGTTTAATTGAAATTTAAAATTTCATTATCTCCTCTCCTTCACATGCATGAGTTATTTGTATCACTGTAAACATCACTTTAATCTGATGAAGTCCAAATGGGCAAAATGCATCCTGCAAAAGATTTTTCATTTTTTCATAGATTTTCCTAAAAAGAAAACTGTAAATAAAAGCAATTGTGATGGTAAGACAACTGACAAGTGAACATTCATTTTAGATATAATGGCAGAGGAAGGTATGTTTGGAGATCAGCAGAATTGTCCAACGCATATCATCTCAGAAAACTGGAAACTGCAATGGAGATGAGGGCTGTAAAGGTGATCAACAATAGAGAAGGTTTGCGGAAGTCAGAACCAAGCTGAAATGTTAAAAATAAAATAAATTTAGAGACATATCAGATTTAAGTTTCATGATCTATAAAGAATGAAGATTCTGAAAAGAAGCAAAATTAAAAATGGGCAAGCAAAAAAAAAAAAAAACAGAAAAGAAAAAAAAAGAAAAAGGGAAAGGAGAAAAGTTAAAGAAAAAAATGGAAAAGAAAAGGAGAGTAAAAAGATAAAGATAAAAAAGTGAAGACGTACAAAAAGACAAACTTAAGAGGACAGGCAAAACAAAGAGAAACAAAAGGGAGAAGAAAAAAAAAAGAAAAGACAAAAAACAAAAACGAGAAGAAGAAGAAATAAGAGGAAGAGAAGAAGAGGAAGAAGAGAAGAAGAAAGAAGAAAAGGAGCAGAAGAGAAGAAGAAAAGGAGAAAAGGAGAAGAAGAGAAGAAAGAAGAAGAAAGAAAAGGAGAAAAGGAGAAGAAGAAAGAAGAAAAGGAGAAGAAGAGAAAAAAGAAGGGGAGAAGAAAAAGAAGAGGAGAAGAAGAGGAGAAGAAAAAGAAGAGGAGAAGAAGAGGAGAAGAAAAAGAAGAGGAGAAGAAGAGGAGAAGAAAAAGAAGAGGAGAAGAAGAGGAGAAGAAAAAGAGAAAAAGAGAAGAGGAAAAGGAGAAAAAGAGAAGAAGAAAAACGGAAAAGGTGAAGAAGAAAAGAAAAACGGAAAAGGTGAAGAAGAAAAGAAAAACGGAAAAGGTGAAGAAGAAAAGAAAAACGGAAAAGGTGAAGAAGAAAAGAAAAAACTGAAGGGCATTAACTGAAAGGGCCGCTGTGTAATTAAGAAAATTTGACAAAATTAATATCGACTACAGGTTACAAATCAAATATAAACATATAAAAAATAAATATAACGATTATCTAATCTTGCAAGGACCTATATTTTTATGTTCAAAAACACATGCGTATATACACACATACACAATAACATATACACATACATATATAAACACATATACACATACATATGTTCATACTTTTATATCTCAAACAGAACTTCATTTCTCACTTCAATGGTAAATATTTTTTCGGTCATCAAAAGAATTGTTGGTAAATAATAAAATGTAACAAGAATTTTCGTTTAACAGAAATGCTGGGAGGAGATGAGGACCCATGATTAAAATAGAATTTAATGTTAAAAAGGTGGAGGAGGGACAAAGAGGGAATGACAAAAAACAGAATAAACACTTCCAGGGAGTTTAAAAAGGAAAATATAGGCTCACTAACCACCCAGTAGAGAAAGAGAATGAATAAATTTCTCCTCCTGTCAGCGCAAAGACGGTTGATTCAATTTAATACTGCTTCTAAGATGTGCATATGCTTAGCTGACCATTCTTTGTCCAAAATAGAAAGCCACAAGTCACTGTATTTATATGCACATTCTAGAATATCCGAGAGGTGTAAACCTATCATGGAATTCTGAGCCGTCTGCGTAAAACACGAATTGTGGGTATTCATACCCTGTCTGATGTTGTCAAGCACATGTTGAGGACACATGGCACAGTGGATAAATATGGAAACAAAGATGTAAAAAAAATTAATTCTTCCGGATCATAATCAGCTTAAGTTGATTTAATAAAACAATTCTCCAAAAAACATTTACAAATTTTTTTTTCTATAACGGATGGAGTAGAAAACTAATTTTTTTTCAAGGGAAATAATCAAGATGTTGTTAATTTGAATTGTCTCCCCTGACAATTTCATCTTAAATTCCTTTTTCAATGATATTCAGAATAATATCATTGGTTTTAATTTTCTATAAACACTATCTTTCGGCCTGTGCACACTATCGCTTTACCTGAACGTTTTTGTGTTTTTGGTACTCAAGAAAGGTAGAAACGTTGACGGAGGAGACGAAATAAGTCTCAATTAAATAAAATAGAATTTTCTCAATTGAGTTAAAATTCATATTTAGAATGTAACTTTTTTCTTTCACAATTTTCAAATGTAACTATAATTTAACTTTCTGTACTGTTATCTCAACCCCCACTAGTCTAATTAGCTTCAAATTCTGTTGACCATACGAAAGTAGGTTTAGCCAAAAGAAACTTCATTAAAAAAATTGCTGTTAGTCATTATTCTGTTTTTCTCTTTTTCCAACTGTCCTGGGTATGACGATAAACTGCATCTGCATCCTGGGTAAGACGATAAACTACGTGCAACAGCAAGGCCTCTGATCAGGAGGTTTTGAGGAGCGTGGAACCACCTCTTAATTGGTGGTGTTCCAGGGGTTGTAACAACTGTTAGGGCCCAAGCTATGGGCAAATAGTTAACCTCAAAACTGAGGCAAAAATCATTATGAAAGTGTAAAAATAAGTTTTAATACCAGAAATACTTTGTAAAAAATTATTACCAGAAATAAAATTTTTAAAGAAAAAATCTATTACCAGCAATACGTTTTTGAAAAAAATATTACCAGCAATAATGTTTTAAAATAATATTACCAGGAAAAAAAAAGTTGTTGGCATTAAATGACCCATTGAGGTTGATATGCCGTAAAACAAAACAAACCAAACAAATCTTTTTCCAAAAAATTTCTCCAGACCTTACTGAATGAAATCTAAAAAGATTAGACATTACCACAGGGTGACCATTTATATTTCAGCATCAAAGTCCCTAAGATAACCCTGACTAACATCAAATATCCTTGAGATATCTCTGACTAATATCAAACATCCAGACATATTTCTGGCTAATGTTACATATCCCTGATTGGAAAACATACCAGCACAACTCAGAGTTTCATATGCGATACAATCATCAGGTGCCGAGTTTCATATATGATACAATCATCAGGCACTGATTGAAAACTGACCATTACAAAATTTAAATATTGATATTTATACCATAGTGTGATATTAGTGGAGTAGTCCATTTATTTATGAGTGGAAGGAAATTATATGCACTTGCAGACATCCAAATAAAAACATAACAGAATTTAAATACAAATATACACATCTAATATGTAGATTCAAATATAATACACATGCACACACAAATATCATTCAAATATCCACATATACAAATATATAAGTATATACATCTGCATTTATATACAAAAGGTACATAAAAATATTTTTTTTATAATTTTTATCTACCTGTTAATATTACACCCTTGTATTTGTATAAAAATGTAAATGCATACACACATTTAAGCATGCATCCATACACACACATATTCATAAAATACAAGTAAAAAAAAAAGAAAAAAATATACACCCTGTCTGAAGTTATTAAGCAAATCATAAACTTCAATAATTCAGACTTGGTTCGAAAAAAATTTTAAATTTTAAGCACTCAATTTAGATGTCAAAACAAAAGCTGAGTTAAAATTTTAAGTAGTATCAATATGTTTTATTGAAGTCATTTGATATATTCTAAAAAACTGCCATCTAAAGTTATTATACAACCTGATATATCCTGATATATCCTATATATATATATATATATATATATATATATATATATATATATATATATATATGAGAGAAAAAGAGAGATACATGGATGCATACATACATAACAAACATATTTACTACCTTCCCATATAAAAAAAGCAACCAGCAAAACCTATTTCACTTGCAACTATAAGAGTGAATGTCCTAATTTCTACAAAATAGCACTTATACAGAATTAACCAAACACAAATTAATTCCCCAACAAAAAGATTTTCTACACTGAACTAAAAAAATAAAAGCAGACTCTCATTAATGACTTCTTTAAGCACATTGTAGATGAACAAATAAGACCATTTCTCAAAAACCTCAATACATGTCAAATAGAACATGGTACTGCCTCAAAGGACCCTAAATATATCAAACTCTTATATTGTAACCAGATGTATGCTAACTACAAACAGGATGAGAAAATCATGAAAACCTCATCAGAACCAATATTCAGGGTTATTCAAAAAGAATGAACCAATTTCATTATGCAATATTTTAATAAGGAAAAGCAATAGAAAACTCCAACCAAGTCAGAAGAATTCTACTCACAATCAACTTTTATTTCTTGTCTTACAAGTGGGCAATATGGCCACCACTTGCAGCATGGGCAACATTAATGCAATAAGAGAATTCCTCCCAGACACGTATCAGTTTTTCACAATCCACTGAATTGATGGCTGTTGTGATTCGATGTTTAAGATGATCAAGGTTAGTGGGTAACAGTGGAACATAAATGTGATATTTTATGATGTATCCCTACAAGGAAAAAAAAAAAAAAAACACTGGGGATCTCGCAGGCCAAGCACAAAGATCAAGGTCTTGGTAAATGCCTGAACGAGGCATAGTCTGTAAAGTTTCAAATGTAGACATCTTCTTAGCATGCACCATATAGTGGATTGAGATATGGTTATCAAGACATTAGGTTTATAAGTCCTAAAAATTCATACAATGATGTCTTCAAGGACACATGGTCCAGTGGATAAAAGCCTTGGTTGAATCCAGTGAATTAACCTAAAGAGTTGTGAGTTCAATACCTGGCTACAGCAGAGGTGAACAAAAATTTGGACAGTTGAGTTAAAGGGAGATAACCGATATTAAAGGGAGACCTGGCTACAGCAGAGGTGAACAAAAATTTGGACAGTTGAGTTAAAGGGAGATAACCGATATTGGAAGAATCATGACATGGAAGTAAAACAATCTACCCTGGTGGACAAAATAAAAGGTTCAATTCGAAATTTCAATCAACTGAAGAAGGCCAGAATGTACAACAGCTGAAACGTACAATACCTCATTTCAGAAATATAGACAGATATAAAAAGTATCCACTATAATAACTTTTGAAGTAATAAATATATATTCATATGTAACACATTTCTATATCACCAGAAGAGTCCACTACATAGAGAAGGAAGAATCGCCCATCTTTATATGAGACTTTTCTGATACATAATAAAATTAGAATTTTCTGTTATTTAAAACTCTACAAATAAAACACTATAATTTATGTTCTCCCTTATTTTTTAGCTTGGAGTTGAAATTAGAAACACAAGTCAGAGAAGTTCAGAACAAATGTATTAAGAGGAACAACATCAAAGCCAAAATAGAGAAGACATAAAAAGAGTAAATGTTGCTTGGCTGAAGAGAGAAAAAGAAAGACAGAAATAAAACTATGAATCTTATAAATGAATGTAGCAAATTACTAAAGTATACATGACTGGGTAAGAATGGAGATCCACTGGAAAAAGTTCAAATGTCAAAAAAAAAAAAAAAAAAAAAAAAAAAAAAAAGCAAGACCTACCGTCACGTAGTAGTTGCATTTCTCCCCCTGACAACATTCAGCACATTCCCAGTCAAGGTACCAATCTCGAGAACAAATCTGATTTTTATTTAAATGGTGTCGGTATTTCTGGCAGGCCGCAGTTGTGTTACAAGATTTAGAAATGAGGAAAATACGTTTCATCCGTGGTGTCCAAAATGGAGCCTCTGGAATAAGAGAAATGGAAACAAAAATATATATGCAAATTAAATGAGTGAACCATGCCAAGATTGACAATAGGGGAAACAGCTTTATGTTGCTGATCAAGCAAGGTAAGTATAAGAGTGTTCTGTTCAAGTGCTTAATAACCTACTCATTTTTTATATTAATCTTTGTAATGTACCAGTCACCAGGGCCGGATTATCCAACAGGTTAGTATCAGAAACCATCAAGTTTGGTAATAATGCTGTTTCTAAAAAATTTCTTTGGGGTATTTTTTTTTTTTTTTACTATGCTTGTGTTGTTACCATATTTGCCAGCGTATTGGATGCAAATTTTTCCCAAAAAAAAAAAATTAAACTGCATCCAACACAGGAGTATCATGAATGAAAGCAATTTCAACACTACGAAAAAAGTGGGGTTCACCAGGAATCAGTGCATGCAAAGAGCTTATCTCTGAAACGAGAACTCCTGTAAGTAAACACACATGAGATCAATAAAAATATCCCTGAAAATTCACCCAGAAAAAAAAAATACAGTGTGACCCGGATATAAGAGAAACCCGGATATAAGAGAAACTCTCTGGTCCCAAATTAGAGCCTGTGTTAATGTATATAAAATAGACCAAACCCGGATATAAGAGACTTCTTCTCCGGTCCCGACAACTCTCTTATATCCGGGTTACACTGTATTGGAATTGCACAATATTCTGTTGCTTGTTTTGTAGAAATACCAAATTTTACAGAAATATTTGCTTTGACTGGTATATTACTGTTTGCTTTGTGTCCGTTTTTGTTAATATGCAGGTACTGGACATTACTTTTCTGCATGTATGGCATATGACTTCATTTACCAAAAAGTACCATATTTCAGGGGGTTTTGCCTATTACCATATGTACCAGTATTCTCTGATAACAGTAGATTTATTTGTAGCTATTATGAATCTGCTGCATGTGCAGATGTTGTTCCCTGAAAAATAACTAAAACAATTTTCAATAAATGTATGATGAAATTAACTAAATTTTTTCTTTTCCAAAAAATATTCTGGTCATTAAACCTTACCTTACTTCTATAAAAAAAAGAAAAGTACCAGTAGTATAATTTGTGTTAATACTGTAAGTGTATCTTCATGGTTAGTGAGAATATTTGGTAAATGTCAGGTTATAATTTTGATTTTTTTGGTTGTGATCTACACATTTTTTTCCTAAATATTCCATATCAATCTTTCTTTCCTGAATCTATCTTGCATATCCATAAGTCTATCATGCTTAGAATATTGCTGCCACACATGATCCATAGTTCCTGCTTTATATCTAGTGATCCTTGATAAAATCCAAGGTAGAATCAATAATATTATTAGTCCTGATCTGGCATCTCAGTTCTAGTCACTTTTGCACTGCTGTGAAGTTGCCTCCCAGTTATCTTTCTATGAATACTTTCATGGTAATTGTTCAGATGATCTCGTCACTATTGAAATGAATGTATCTTGCATATCTATAAGTCTACCATACATCCATGCTTAGAATATTGCTGCCACATATGGTCCAGTGCCCCTGCTATTTACCTTGAACTCCTCCATAAAATTGAAAGAAGAATCAGCAATATTATTGGCCCTGATCGGGTAGCTCAACTTTCCCACAACTGTAAAGTTGATTCTCTGTGCCTATTTTATAAATACTTTCATGGTAATTGTCTGGATGAGCTCTTCGCTATGGTACTTAGACTTTATGAATTTAAGTGTAGGACTGTAAACGTTCTGGGATTACAAAGGAAATATTTGTCGCAGATTACTTCCACAATGCAGAGAATAAATCACTGTAAGTTCAGACTCGAACATCAGGAGCAGAAAGAAATGCTGAAAACTTGATTCGCAGGTACTATCACACAAATCACAATGCACGTAACCAGTCAGAAATATAACTCACTCTCCAACAAATGTGGTAGCCAAAATACCCGAACTTTATTTTCTCTTTTGCTTTTAGCGGCCGAGCATTTTTTTCATTCATCGACAACTGTGAGAGGATGTTCAATTTTTGCATATCAAAATACTTTTATAACGACTCCTGCAACTGACTTGTTTCTAATTTAAATATTTCATCTTCAGCATGTCATGCAGAATACGTGCCCTTTTTTTGGTAAGTAATTTTCTTTTTTGCCACATTTTCCATTGTTTGGTTTGACAAGTCGCTGTTTTCTTCACTATAAGTACTAGACTGGCAATGAGGTCTCACCAATTTACAGATGTAACCATAACTTCTATGCTAAGTTTCTTTTCTTGCACTTAACATTTGTCAAACTGTCTTCCAAATATGCATTCCAGCCAAATTTAATCTTCAAAAATTTAAATGCAATGTCAATCACCATCTGATGTCCTTCTGATTACTCTTCCTTTGTCCCTGTTTCTTAGTAATATTTCTGCTTTCTAATTACCCAGTACCCCCACCCTCCAATGCATCAGTGGCTTTAGTGCCTTGTTTTGAGTGAACTTGCTTTTAAAAAACAAAAAAGAAGTGAGTAACAATATAAAGAACAGTGATTAATTTTTTTTTCTATACGTTTTTTTTGGTCTGTAATATCCATCATACTAAAATAAATCAATATATAAAATTAACTAGTGAATCCTACCATGACGGCAAGCAGGCAACTGGCACATCTTTTGTGACAACATTCTTCCACTGAAACAACATAAGGAAAGTAACTTCTAAATTCTAAGTGGAGTGCATTGATATTATACTAATCCAAGGCACAGCACACAGATACTCAGATCATAATAGATAGGATCACCTGTTGCCTGGTTCACACTCCTCCTTATTCTTTTAAACAAGATTAAAGCTTTATTCAGTAACTCATTGCATCTTAGTGACATTATTGCTTAACAGGTGCTATCAGCCTGGGTCAGGGAAGACCTGGGAACAATAGCAATTAAGGACTTTGGCAATCAGAAGCCTTACTGCCAGATATAGTTTATCATCATACCCAGGCCAGAGAGTAAAACAACCTAAACTTAACGACAACAAAGATGAGGACCTTAGTCTGAAATGTAAATAATGTAAATAATTGTAATATATTTTTATGGTAAATAATTTGCAATGTGTTTCTAATGTAAAATAATTTCCAGTGAATTTTTAAATCTACTTTTAGACTGTGTCATTGTATAGTGATTTTCCAAGCACAAGTGAAGATTGAACTTACTACTCTGTTGTAACTGTTCTAGCAAGACAAGCTTGCTAAACATTATACTGCCTCAAAGTTCCCACTGTGTCATTGTATATATAATTATCAGAGTGAATGAAAAAAAAAAGAAAAAAAGAAAAAAGGTATCAATGCATATAAATCCTACCCATGATGTTATAGCTTTTACAGGATACATAACACAGACACTCTCAATTACATATATTTGAATAAATATTTTAACCTGTCAAATTAGATTAGCCCACAAAAAAGATTAAATATCTTTAGTTTTAATGTAATACTTATATATTCAGCTTAATGTTCATAGTAGTATTAGTTGTTTCCATATAAGGAAACATTTGGCATTCATTAACCAAGCAGCAAGTTCTATTTTTGGTTATAATTTATAAAATCATTCTCTTAAAACAATTTTTCAGGAAAATAAGTTTCTATTTTTATGCTTCTGCTAAAAATCATCAGAAATTGTCATTAACATTTTGCTTTAAGCCAAGTGGAACATCAACATCTTGATTATGTCATTATTTTCTTGCTGAGTTACATGAGCACAATGCCTGACACTGCAAAAGTGTGCTCAACTAGCATCCAATTCTGAAATGTGACAATCCATGGTACAAGTGCAGAGTTGATGGTGCAGTGTTCATGGACCTTGTGCTTCTGCCAAAAACCATCAGAAATTGTCATTCCAAGCTGAGTACAAGATCTGTGGCAGATACCAACAAAAGTGGTTATCCTTCAACAAACAGATTGGAATAAAACATTCAAAAGGGTAGAAGTTTAACACTCTACTGTATTTCTACCCTTTTACTGTTCAAAATAAAATATGTTTTATGAAAATCAACCAATAATTAATAAAACTATGAACAATTTTTAAATAGGGAGAAAAATTCTAATATTAGTAATAGGGTCAATGGAGTTTCTGAAATGTTTTACAGCAATCTGAATTATTCACAGAAGCTGGACCAAGGAAATTCAGTAAATGTTGTTATGTAAGATATCGACAATATATTTACATAGTGACATGATTGAAGTACTATGTAAATATTAAATCTTTACACCTAAAATTAAAAACAAATTAATAGCACTAAATAATATAGAAAGAAAGAAAATGAAAATTTTGTGATGGAAAAATGAAAAAATAAAAAGAACACCCATCCCCAAAACAAAAAAGATCAAAGTCAAAAAAAAAAAGCCAAAATAAAAAGGACTCGAGAAATAAAAGCCCAAAAGAAGGACTCGAGAAATAAAAGCCCAAAAGAAGGACTCGAGAAATAAAAGCCCAAAAGAAGGACTCGAGAAATAAAAGCCAAAAAGAAGGACTCGAGAAATAAAAGCCAAAAAGAAGGACTCGAGAAATAAAAGCCAAAAAGAAGGACTCGAGAAATAAAAGCAAAAAAAAAAAAAAAGACTCGAGAAAGAAATGTAAAAAAAAAAAAAAAACAACAAAGATAAAAATAAAAAAACAAGAGGGGAAATAAGACAGAAAAAAAAAAAGAAGTAGAGAGATATATGTAAGATAATTCAGATCCAATTATTAGTGATAGACTAGTGTAGTTCTGATTGCACTACAATTATTGAGTTCAGTCCAGTTTCAAAAACAAGCTGATTAACAAAACAGAATAATAGTATAATTCCTGTTTGCAGCTGATCTTGTCCTGAAGCAAGTTTCTCTCTTCCGTTGCATTGAAAGAAACTTCTTTTCACATTGAAGTAATATCTACTTACGCACTTGTTTGAAGACTGACATGCAAGTATCGTAGTTCATCTCACACTGAATTGTCGTCTTGATGCATTTGTCCTTGTTGTTGGGTTGATTTTCACAGACATAACATTCTAAACTGAATACTGCAAGAGAGAAGACAAAAATAAAGGCATTGCAGTAAAAACAAAAAAAAAAAGAGAAAAAAAAGACATTTATTAAGAAATAATCAAAGACTTCTAAATATCAGTCACTTAAACTGAGGCCACAGTCGATGTTCCTTCTAATTTTTTCATGGTTTACATGGGGTTAAAAATGCTTAGAAACAATTGAAGTGGCATATGTGAAAAATATTTTTGAAATGATCTGTGAGATTTTTTTTTCTAAAGTTTAAAAAAAAAAAAAAAAATCTGAAATTATTTATCTGATGAATAGATTTTTCTTAAAAATTTCTTCCCTACAACTCAGTTTTACAGTTGGCTTTATCATTCGTTCATCTTATGTTTCCTTTTCTCGCTCCTTTCTTGCGACTCGACCTCGCGTTCCCCTCTCTCGCTCCTCCACCGCAACTCGTCCTCGCGTTCCCTTTCTCATTTGTTCATCATTTCATTTTTCTTTACTATTTCTTCATTTAAAGAAACGTTGCTTTTTTCATTACTCTTTATTCATTATTGTTTAATTTTTTTTTTTTCCTTTTATTTATTTGTTATAATAAATAATAAAGAAATAATTTCTCATGGCTGCTGGAAAGTTCTCACCTTGATCCTCTTCCTAAAATCTCACTAAAATGACCAAGCACAAGAATTTTTACAAGATTCCCTTCTCGGTCATGCCAATAATTTTTCACCCACCTTTCATGTATTAGCTTGAAATATAAAACTTTTTACAAAAAAAAAAAAAAAAAGAATCACTTTGGCTCAATGTTAAGAAAATATAAATTTGAATATTTTGTATATAAAGAGAAGTATTTATTATAAATGCATGCTCTTAAGATTTTATTATCACATATTTTCAATTCCTTCGAAAGCCTTTTTCATTTTCTTTCACGCTCAGTTAACCCCACTTTGCATCTCAATGACATTATCCCCTTGCTTGGGGTGAATTGATTAAAAAATTTAAAATAATGTGGGCACTGAAAAGTTTCTGTCTGAAGAAGCCATTCTGAAGTGAATTCTGCTGTTTATTTATTTGGGCATATTTTTGAAAGTAGGTCAAGCTGAGAACATTTCAACACCCCCTCATGTGTGTGTGTGTGAGAGCCAGAATACAAATAATATAATCCAAAATAACTTTTCCTGGGTTTCGACCCAGAAACAACATGTCATATCTATTCTAAAATAAAATAAATTGAATGGCGAGTTGGTTGATTTTATCAGATGTCAATCCCAGTCAGGTTATTTCATTTCAAATTTTTTTCAATGATAATATTAGCCATTTCCTTATAAGGAAACATTTGGCATTCATTAACCAAGCAGCCAGTACTACTTTTAGTTGAAATTTATACAATTTTTTACTAGAAACAATTTTTCAGAAAATAAGTTTCTCAAGTCCAGAAGCTGTCATCGCTATTTTTACTATTGACAGGAGAGGGGCCCTTCTTAACCTTTTCCTTGAAGTAATGTATAATCTTGATTATGTCATTTTTCATTAAGTTACATGTGCTATCCATTTTAGTTGTTGCTGGTGTTGATAGTCCTCAAATTAGGTATTTTGTGTTATTTGGTACAATTGTTTGTGATCTACAATGTTCAAAGAAGGTTGAGCTTTACCAAGATTCATACGCACATATATATATATATATATATATATATATATATATATAATGTGAAGAAATATAGTTTTAAGGTGTGCTATATTTATGGGATAAAGTGCTCAGTATCAGAGAGAGAATATAAAAATGAACATTGAAGTCAACACTCAGAGACGATGGGCTATTTCATGCTAGACACAATCATCAGGCCACCTTGAGATTATATATATATATATATATATATATATACACACACACACTGTAAGACTTGTGACTGTGATAACACAGCCATCAATGGCTTCTGAACAGTTCTGTTTATGCAATTCAAAAGGCTTGGGTTAATAACACCTTTCTGAAAAATTAATACATATATATACATATATATATATATATATATAACCATTTCCTTATAAAGAAACATTCAGTATTCATTGACCGAGCAGCCAGGGTTGCTTTCAATTGAAATTTATAAATATCTTCCACTTAAAAGAATTTTTTTCAGGAAAATAGTCCAGCAGCTGTTATCACTTTTTTCAGTAGTGATGAGTGTTTCCTTCCTAACCTTTTGTTTGAAGTAGTGTGGAATGTCAACCACTTGATTATGTCATTATTTTCTCTTCGAGTTACATGTGCTATCCATTTTAGTTGTTGTTGCTGCTGAAATTCTTCAAATGATGTGGTTTCTATTATTTGGTACAGTTGTTTGTGGTTATGTAGTGACAGTCCACAATGTGCAAAGAAGGATGATCTTTGCCAAGATCCACAGGCTTCACTTAAAGTCTTTTTCAACCATTGATGTGAGAAAGCAGTTGCATGCAACTGACAGTTTAGATATTTCTGAACAGGCTTAGCGTCATGCATGACATCCATGTGAAAGTCTCAATCTGATGAGGCTATTTAAATACATAACTTAAGTTTTCAGGTTAATGTTTTGCTTTTGTGGCAATTTGTAACATTGAGCCAAACTTCCTCTTCCATATTCAATTTCCTTATCTTACTTATTATAAAACGCAGATTGTGTGTGTGTGTGTGTGCGTGTGTGTGTGTGTCTGTATGTTTATATATTGGATCGAATTTCCTACATTTTTCAACCGATTTCAACAAAACTTCACAGGATTGCATAAAATTACCTTGCTGTGGTTCTGACAGTGCCAAAAATTGGAAAAACACAATTGTTTTTGCACAAAATCAATTTGAAAACATGATAAAACACGATTCTGTCGCCAGAATGAAAGGAGGACAACTCATATCGAGTTATACTTATTATAAAACCCAGTGTGTGTGTGTGTGTGTGTGTGTGTGTGTGTTCGTTTATATATGGAATCGGATTTCCTACATTTTTCAACCGATTTCAACAAAACTTCACTTATTTGGGCAGGTAGTGTTTCTTATTGTCTTGCACACTTTTTTCTTTATTTTTACATTCAGAATGCTTTAAAAATTCCATTTACAAGAAAACTGCTTATGATAAAATTCTATTCAATCAATAGACTAATAACGATTGAAAACAATGTTTTTTGTTTGAGTTTGAGTTTGACCAATTCATAAAATAAAACAAAAAAAAAAAAAAAAAAAACTAATTAAGACATGTGTGTCCGTCAACCTTAAACAATAATCTTTGTCAATTTTATTTTTCAGTCTTTATGATGGTCGATACTTGATCTATCTCTTACTGTTACATCCCCGGGCAACACCGTATTCTTGGTAAATTTTTATAAAAATGTATTCCTGGTAATTTTAATATAAAGATGTATTTTTATACATTTTTAGTGTTGTAATTTTCTATAAAGAAGTGTTGGTCATTTTATTATAAAAATGTATTGCTGGTCATAAAAGAATGTATTGCTGGTCATTTCACTATAAAAGTATGTATTGCTGGTCATTTCAACTATAATAATGTAGGTACCTCAACTGTATTTTTCATACCTAAGTTTTAAAATTAAATTTTAAAAATAAAAAAGCATTCTTGAAGATTTCATTCTAGTTATAATTAAAAGCTAAATGATTAAATTATTTCAAGTAAGTAAAATATTCTGGTCTATTTCAGATAGAAATTATATAGATTGGAATGTCAAATAATTGCTAGAGTTTTAAAATTTTTCTTTAAAGCGGCCGTTTTCTTAATTTTTAAGAAATTTGTAAACAAATTTATCAGGTTTAAAATTCTTTCAAAATTAAATTATAGATTTGTGACACATTATTTGAGTAAAATTAGAAAATTTAAAGTTAAATTATCTGATTTGAAATAAATATTACTTACTTATATCATTAAAAAACTAATATACAAACATTTCTTAACAATGGGTCCCCCTCTTTCTTTGATCTTTATTGATTTATCAAGAAGCTTTTAAGGTGATGACAGCACTTATGGATGACCAGAAATGACATATTTATGAAAACTAAGTGAACACATTTTTTTTTTAAGAACCTAGTAATTTTTACAAAATAACATATTTTCAGCAATTACTTAATATTTTATTGACTTTTAGTTAAGTTTTTAAGAAGCTTTATGAAATTTACATTTTGTCTCTAGAGTCTTAAGTTTACTGCATTAAACAAAAAATTAATTGAAGTATGATCCAAACTAAAAGTGAAATAACTGCAGATGACACTTAAATCACATGACCTTTTTAAGGATTATGTCCTGTACAGATTCCCATAGGTAGAAATGAGGAAAGTTTTTTACACTAAAAATTATTTTTAAAATATTCAGGTACAAAGGACTGTTATGAGCTTTTCATATTTTGATTTGTAAATTTTATTTTCACTTAACGATATCACCAAATTGTATTCTTGAAAGAATGAAGAATTTTAAACGATTTTTGAACTATTATATTATTATAATTAAAATTTAAAAAAAAATAAAAAAAATGAAAAAATTCTTATAAAAATTCATTATTCATCAAAAAAATTTTATTTATTCAGACAATAGTGTCCTTAATATAACTTATTTACAAAAGCAATTAAAAACTTTTCTAATTAAATAATGTCATAGTTTTATTTCTTTTTTATTTTAAAATTCAGAGCAGATTTGTTGAAACATGTAACCGTTATACAAAAAAAATACTGATGATTTACTTTCTCCAAATAGTCCTGTTTTTAACTAATAAATAAAAAATTTCTCAAAATTTCATGAAATTATGTGAGTGGTAACATATCTAAAAAAAAATAAAAATATTTTTTACCAAGATTTTCTAAAAAGAAAATAAATAAATAATTACATCCATTTCTGAATATCTCCCAAAAGTTTAATTAAAATCCGACAATTATTTGAATTTTGTAAGAATTTCCAAATCAGTGTTTTTCCTTGGAAAAAGCACAAAATAAAACTAACCTTTTTCTCTAGTTCAACGCTGTTGCAAAAAAAATAAATAAATAAAATAAACAAGATTTTTA